CCCCAAAACCCCAAAACCCCTTAAAGCATACATTTGAAAATAACTTGCTGAAATTGATAAATATAGGGGCTTATTATTAAATTCTTATTAAAAAATGAAATTACTAGATCCACTATCAGGCTACAGAATCACATCACAGATATCTTTCTTTTAACTGGGGTTCACTGTGGCTATGTCTCATCTTTCTTTCTAGGATGAGTTTGACCCAGATAATAGAGACTACGCCATTTTGTTTCTAATCATATCCCATATCTCATTCGCTGTAATTGACTATGGTAGAGTGCTACTATAAAAATTCAGAAAGACCTCTATAATCATCACTGGTACACTAAATTTTGTGAGTACAGCAGCATATTAAGTAGTTATCTTCTACGCATAGGTGAAGTATTTGAATTCTGAGATTAATGAGGCAAACTTTGGCTCAGTAGAGGAGTTTGAAACCAAGGAATCAAGAGCACTTAATTGGCTAATGATTGAAATTGCTGTTTATTACTTCTAAGTTGGCCTCACAGTGATATTCCTACTTTTACAAATATTTTTGGGACTTGAAATTAAATGTGATAAAGAAAAGGAAATGGAATTAGAAATGATTAGATAATCCAAAGCTGTCTTAAGTAGGAGAATCAGCAGAACTCCAACTCCAAATCAATAGTTACTTGAACAATAAGAGTAAGAGGAACAAAAGACTCCTGAATAGGAGCAGCAACAAGAAAATAAAAGCAAAAAGTTAACAGAATAAGAAGGAGAGGATAGTTATGATGGCGGTAAAGACAATAATTTCAGTTTGGAATATCAAGACTTTTGGTCAAATTTAAGACAAGATTAGGATTTCCTTGCATTGATAAACGACTAACTTTAGTAATTTTTGTTCTACGGAATAATCTTTACTGTTTCTTTGTTCGTCATATGTGTATAAGATCACGAGGAGTACGAAAACAAGGAGTTTTCCTATTTCTATCCCATTCTAGCATTAACTATTCTTTTTGGGATTTTATTCCTTTACACAATAATCGACTTGTTTACAAAGTACAAAGAACCTGAATGTATGAAGAAATATTTTTTGAAAGTGATGCTTGGATTGATATTCATCGATTTAACTTATATGGTAGTGGATCTATTTATTTTTGGAGTATAAGAGAACTTGGAAAGATATTGGATTATGACTGTAGTATCAATTGCTATTTCCTATATTATTACAGAGATTATTGTTAGATTTTTGGCAAAAAATGATGATCATCTTTAAAGATAAAAAGATATTATGTTTGCTTAGGATAAGGAAGAAAAGAGAACTCTCATACATCCACATTCAAAGCAAATAGACTTAGAAGATGATATTTATGCAATCACGATACTTTCTTTTAATGTCCTTGATAAAAGAAGAAAAATAGAAGTCTAGCTTACTATTTAATCTGCTTAATCTGTAGAAGAAGAGTCTATATCTCTAAGTTAAGAAGAAAATTTGCTGTAATAACCAGTTTAGTAGGTAAGACCGGAAGTATAGAGGGCTCCAGTAACTTATGTCGAAGCATCCAAGAACTTTAGTACGTGTGTGATTATCTTCCTAATTCAAATGGCATTGATTATTCTTATGTTTATTTAGCTAAAATCCAGTGATAAAAATGTAGAGCTACTGTTTTCTGTGTTTTTGACTAGAATACTTTGCTCTTTCTTGTTGCATATGAGACTTGAATCAGAGATATACCAAGCCATTTAGCTATTTAATTATGCAAGATTAATGGTTTATTATAAGGACAATAGACTAAGCATGCTTATGGTATCAGGCATGCAGTTTGTGGGTGCTTTCTTCACGGAGATTATTAACATATACCTTATAGCATCACAGAATACCGTGGCTGATGTCCTTATCAACTATATTGCTCTTGGTGTAATAGCTGAAATAGATAATATTTATGCAAAATCACTTCAGCATAATACAATGAGAGCAATGATTGCAGATGGTGTAACACTTGAGTATAATGAAGAAAATCCAGCAAGGCCAGGCTACTAGAAGAATAAATCCTTAGCCAAAATTCTATACAAAATAATAAGGGTTTATTATGAAAGCTATTATTACTATTTCATGCCATTCACAGTAGTTGGCTTAACCTTCCTATTTATCATGTTTTGATATGACCTTAGTTAATCAAGATTATTTAAAAAGAGCAGACTTAATTGAAGCTTTTAATTTTAAGCCTCAATTAAATTAATATTAATATTGACTAGAATTTATTTAACAAATTTATAGCAATATTAACTAATGGGGTTTTGGGGTTTTGGGGTTTTGGGG